GTTGGAAATTTTAATAAAGTGAAATGCAGTTTTGGGAATTATTCATTCAGAATGTCTAGAAATTATCTACAAATTTTCAATCGGTTATATTCCTTAGAAACATACTTTTAAATTTACTATTCACTCTTTTGAGTGGCTTTCTCATTTTTTTTAGTATGCTTTTGCATAATTAATTAAACGACAATTTTTTAATTTCTTTATTTATAGTATTTTCCCCTTTTGGTATCAAAAAATGAGTTCAAATCAATCTTCTGTATTATTTTATTTGCTATAGTTTAGTTTGAAAAATCTTTTTTAAAAATTGTTTTTTATGTCTAGATAAAGAAGCTGCAGTAGCTTTAAAGCCATTAGTGCTAACTGCAGCTTCTTTATCTAAGATTGAAATATTAAATATGAGATATAACTAAAAAGCTGAAATGCAGCCATTTTCTATACATGTTGTGCGTGTTGCATCATTTAATTTTAAAATTATAGAAGTCATAACACATATTGGTGAAATAATTTTTATGATTTCTGCTATGAAATTTAATTAAACAACCGTTAAATTAAAATGAAAGCAATTTCTTCCAAGAATAAAATTTGAAAGCTGTACCTATGTCAAAGACAAAAATATCAAGTTAGCTGAATAAACTAATTACTTTTATTGCTTATTAAGGAAAAGAGTTATTTATAAAATTCAACTCTCTTTTTTAAGTAGATTTGTATGGTCTCAAAATCAGATTTACAAATAATAGCATTTGTAGGCATAACAGCATTTTTTTAAAATTCAATTTTATTCAGTATTTAGTTTTTAAGCACGATCAAATGTATACAAATTGTTTTCTATGCTGGATAATTTCGTTTAAAATATGTCCAACTAGAGAAGACACAAGTAGTCTGCTCTATAGAAGTTAGTGCTGTTAATTAGTATTCTAAATCTGGCAAACAGTTGCCAAATGTAATGCAATTGAAGACATAGGACTTAAGAAAAAGCTAGTGTCTAAATAAGACGGGCAAAGTTGTGAGGTCTTGGCTAAATGGGGAACGTTTATTTGCTTTCATCTACTTCATTTGCCCTTCTGTGTGAGGGGGGGGAAGAAATTTTGGCTCCAAAAGCTACCAAAAGTACACTATTTCCCCTTTTGACTAATCTTCCACCGGCTATAAAGATGCCAGACCACTTCTATCTGTACTCCCTTATTATTACAGCTTTTATTTTGTAAATGGTGCAACGATTATCAGTAAACTGTCAATGCAAACCATCTTCAAATGGTCGGCAGGCCTACGGATGACTTTATAACTTGTTCACGAAGAGAAGATTTAAACCTGTAACCAAATTTTCTTTTTCATACAAATGTGAAAAATTCACAAATCTCTCATAATTATCTCAGCACGAGAATAGTTTTGAGTATTCTATGTGTTAACATGTTTTCTTTTTTCAAAAAAAAAAAAAAAAATGAATGTTTAAAATATGTAATTGGTAGAAATGTGAGAAAGGTACTGTATCTTTTTTCCTGATTCATTTTACCTTCCATTCAAATATATATTTTGATAATTGGTTAGGTGGTTTTGGAATACAGATGAAGCATGACTGTCCAACATTCATCTAAACAGAATATTTTTTATTTAATGTCAAAAACTTTTTTTTTAACCATAAAGCATGACTAAAACCAAGGACTCAAATTGAACAAAATAAATAAAACAAACAAAAAAAAAAAAAAAAAACCATCGCCAATCAATGTGATTATTTAGTGCCAGTAATGGATAAGTGTCACAATCCAATCATTAGATCTTTTCCTTGGTTCCATGTAAACCCAATTGATTCTCAGTAAGTTAGTTTAATTTTTGTAGAAAATGATATAATTCCTATTTATCTGTTTTTCTGTTGCATTTTGAAAAAAAAAAAAAAAATATTAAAACTTTGGACTTGCCTTCAACAGAACTGCATTCAGTAGAGTATTTAGAAATTATGGAAACCTGGCATCAAGATATGTGTCACTTAACGTGAAAGTGAATAACACTGGCTCTGCAACATAAAAAATTATGGCTAGCAATTTGAAGTTTTTTATATGTTATGTTCGTAACTTGTATAAGTTATTTATCTGACTAAATAAAAATCAATCTGTTTCTCAACTTTTACTGGAATGATTGGCAAGATTTCTGTTAATTTTCATTGTCGGCAGAATTTCATAATCAAATATAATGTTTTACTGTAGTGCTTACGTCTGAAATGCTCATTTTTCTTTCAAAATCTAATGTAAATTAAATGTGGGCATTTGATGTTCAACTTGATAACAAATAAAATGACTTATTGTAATTTCAGATTAGAAATTGTTTTTCTTCAATTTATTCAGCAACTACTGGATGTCTGTGTCCAGTAGGTAATTAATCCCAAATAATGGCACTTTCTGGACACTGTTTGCTGAGGTGTCATTGTTCTGAATGGGAATAAGGGGTTGGATATAGAGAGAGAATGGTGCATCACAGAGTGTAACAGAATGGTGTTATAGCTTTAAAATGTACTATTTCCATAAAGATGCTTGTGGGCCTTGAAATTGATTCATTCTTTTTAAATAATTCTATATTTTCTCAGGCAGTTCTACCTTGCTGTCACAGTAAATCATTTTCCAACTTGGAGTTGTTATTGTAGAACTCCCAGTTCTCTGGCCGATGTAGAATCATAACCTATCTAAATAATCGGGAAATAAAGATATAATTGTGTTTCCCCCCACATGCAGGCTAAACACGTATTGAGTGAGGAATTTTTTTTTTTTTTTTTTTTTTTTTTTTTTACTCATTTTGGTGACTAATAGTTCTGTATTGAATAAAACAGTACTTATCATGAGATTTGTAGATACCAGGAAAATATTAAGTGTTAAGGTTTTAAAATTTTTTTATAAGCCAACTAATACATAATGAATAATTGTTCTGTGAAGACCATATAAAAGCTACATATTATGTTTACAAAACATTTCCTGCTTGCCTGTTGAAATTATTCTCATAAAATTCTAAATGTTATTTTGAGAATATAACTTGAAGTACATGCCTAGTACAGTACAAAGTTCAAAATCTGGATATCCAATATCTGTACCTCCAGTTTAACAGCAAACCTTCCCTAATGAGACCTTGCTCATTTCAGCTATGGTATTCGCAGTGCTTGAACATAACATTTGATGAATCAAATGTTGTTGCCTCATTCACTGATCCGTATGATTACTGGATCTCCCACTGTGATTGCTTTTCTCTAGAATTTCTTAAAAGATATGATGTATGACGTCCACAAGGACAGTGCTCAGGATATTCTACGCATCTCTAATTTCCGTGGCTGCCCAAGATATGCCCAGAATGTTCATGATTCCATGTATGGACAATAAAGGCATGTGTTGAAATTCATGGATGTAACTTTTGTGCATTTTTTAGGTATATTTGTTATTAATAAACTGCATTTTATTCACTTCTTATATTCACCATACACAAGCATGACGGTGATATTTTTATTCTCCTTAAATATAAGATTCCAACTCGTCTTTGAGTAGTCTGCCTTTCTCAGAAGCTTGAACAGGCTGTATTGAAATATCTTGAATGAGATATTAGTTTAGAGTGTAAAATAACTATGAATATTTCTGTATCCTTTGACAAAGTTAATTATGTTTTTGTTTTTATAGGTGAGAAGCTGAAAATGATGAACCCTACTCCCAATGGTTACAGTAGTATTCCTAATCACAAACCTAAGCCCGAAGGGCAAGATACTGTTAAAAAACATCATGATGATAATAAAAATTCTAATTCGGAGCACCACAAGCACAGTTCTGACCATGTAAAGAAGAAAGAGGGTGATCCTTTAAAGCATAAACATTCTAGTTCTCATTCAAAACCCAAAGATACTTCCAAAGACTCTAATGTAAAAAGTGATATTAAAAAAGAGCATCATAGTGACAAAGAAAAAAAGCATCATAGTTCGTCAAATAAAGACAGTTCAAAAACCAAAGAAAGCAGTAATAAACATTTAGATCATTCTAAGCACAATTCTATCAAAAAAGAAGATAAGTCGAAAACTGTGGACTCTGTGAAAAAAGAGCACAGTAATTCTGATGGACAACCAAAATCTGACAACTTCAAAGAAAATGAGAAGGTAAAAGACAGTAGCTTGAAAGAAAGCAAACACAAGGATTCAAAGGAGAAGCATAAAGAGAAACATAAAGATTCAAAAGACAAAGTACATAAAGAAAAATCAAAGGAAAAAAGTGACAAACCGAAGCATGAATCGTCTGAAAAGAGCAAAGAAAAACATGGAGAGAAACACAAAGATAAAGATAAACATGGAGAAAAACATAAAGAGAAACTTGGTGAAAAACATAAAGAAAAAAGTGAAAAAGTTAAGGTAGAAAAACCTGAAAAAGAAAAGCCTAAGATAAAATCTAATGAATCTGATCAAGATGGTTATTTTTCGCCTGCAAGAAATTCTGTAGCAGAGAAAACAGATGTAAATATTAAAGAGGAGCCATTGAGTGAGGACGATATGCCTTTAGTGAGTATTATTTCTTAAGCAGTCTTAAGATTTTGATTATTTCCATTTAGCTCATTATTATTTTGTGCATATGTCGGAGTTGTCAGTTCTTCGAAAACTTGGATGATCATGGTTATTTTTTACATTAAGAATTGTTGATTGCAAAGTTTCAAAGGGAGTCAGATTTTTAAAAGAAGGGTAAAGCAGCATCGTTATTTCTAAATGTGTCGCCAATTGGGCATTTTTTTCCCCCCTTAAGTGATATTTTAGCTCAATTTCCGTTTGATCTGAATTATTTTAATCCATAATAAAAGTCTGTAGATGATAAAAATTTAACCTTTAGTAAGTAAATATCTATATTAGATTTTGCTTTAAATATAAGTGATAACATTTTAAAATTTATCTAATTGATTTTATTCCTCTTAATTATTGATTTCATGTTTGAAAGCACTTTATTTTTTTTTCCTTCCTACTCAAGTTTTTAAGACAAAATTTTAATTTAGAATAATCAATTAAAGGATGAAGTAATATATTTTCACCAAAATCATATTATTATTGGGATTTTTGTTCTCTGGTAAATCAAGTTAAAGAGTTTTATTATGGCTAAGAAATAAAAATATGCTTGTTGTTGACTTAGGCCTTGGGCATGTTGCAGGTGACAGGACAAATTTGCTGAGCTACATTTTAGTTTTTAAAGAGAATCTTCTAGGAGATGGTTCCGGGAAGATCTCGACCCTCTTCTGCTTCAACCAACTTCTCAATATTTGGCTCGACAGAATTTCATGTGCTCCCATGATGCAAAGACACTACATTTACAAACATCTTTGCCTTCTTTTGGGTTTGAGGATGATGTCAATGATATGGCAGCCAGCAGCACTAACCATTGTGTCAATAGGACAGCATTACCCAGGGCGAAGGCACCCAGCTGTCATACCACCATTCCAACGGAGTAGTAAATTATGTTGAAATTAGTTTAAATAATTTCAATTTTGTGTTACGTAAAATGGTTTAGGTTAGATTTGCCAGTTGTCCTGAAGTTTTGTTGCTAGGCAACATGAAAATCGTGGAGGTTTATCATATTTCGAGGTTGGCAGATCTCTAAAACTGTTTCTGGATATCTTATGTATCATATATAATACAGTATGGGCACTTCTTGACTTGTATCTTATATTAGCCTATATTTAAAAAAATAACTGTAATTAAACATGACTGTCATTTAATTTATTGAATATTACTGTAAAATATGTTAATCAAAAAGGGCCCACCAGCGGTCAAATTGTATTGTCACTGAATATTAGTTGTTTGACCTGAACCCTTTTCGATAATCAAATAAATCAAACCATTAATGGAATAGATGTATGGGTATGCATTGTCAGTACAAGAAGTCTCCTAGAGCAAGGTGCAATGGGCGACAGAGATCTAGAACTCTTCTACTGTCATGAATTGTTTTAAGTTGAGGGTTGAATATGACTGGGCTTTATCATGGCCCATCATAATTTGGTTTCACATTTAATCCTTGCTATAAATTTGATATCCTTGTATATGTAAGCATTCATTGTTGTTCTGGGTGAATAACATCACCATTTTTTTATGTTTTCATCAGTTCAAGGAGCCGTAGACCTAATACTTCCAGCAGTGTCTTCAGTGAAATCCTATCCATCCTGAAAGTGTTTAAACCATTGGTTCTGAACAGGGACGAAGGGCATGTTTTGTGTGGTAGGGTTGGGTGATGAGCATATTTTGGCATTCAAACTTAATTTGTGGAAAGTGCAGAAGCACCAACTGCTTGGCGCGTTTTTAAGAATTGCACAAACTCTGTATCCATGTACACATCGACCTATTTTCACTTAAAAAGTCAAGGAAAATTGACAAAAATCCAATTCTTCTTACTCTTTTAAAAAGCGCCAAGCAAATAAGTGGACGATTCTGCACTTAGCCTTTAATTTTAACCCCCCCCCCAAAAAAAATTTATTAAATCGATGGTTAATCTTTGAATTATGGTAACTTGGCGATTTTTTGGCGAACATTTGGCGACCAACTCTGCTACAGCAACCCTCTTTTTTTTTTTTTTTTTTTTTTTTTTTTTTTTTTTTTGCTGGTGAAGATGTTTTTTTCCTTTTTATTTACTGAACACTTTTTCCAACAATCTGCTATCCGAATTACACTTATGCTAGAAATTTTATGGAACAAAACTGCTTAATCATGACAAATATTAACTGCCAAATTGGGAAAAAGTGCAGAATCTCAAACTCCTTGCCGCGTTTTTCAGAATCGCATATACACATAAACCATGTACACATAGACTTATTTTTACTTAAAAAAACATCCCAGAATTGCACAAAAATGGCATTGCACACACTCTTAACTTTATCCATCTACACTGCTATTTTCTCATAAATTACAAAAATTTGCACGAAAATGCAGGAAAAATTTTTGGAATCTTTAAACTCGGTAAAAAAGCGTATATATATGAAATTACCTGATCGCGAAAAAGTATATACCCTTTCCAAGGATGAACATTTCCACGTATAAAATAAATAAAATATCCAAAAACTTTTACGTCTAAATTATCTATTATATTATAAACGTCACCAACGAATTTATACCACAAACATTAAAAATGGTTACAAATACTTAGTGTCAAATATTTAAATTATTGCCATGCACATTTACTTCCACTGAAACGTATACCAAATTCCTACAAACATATAATTCACAAAATAGCTATCATTTAATTAAAATATAATTAAATTAAAAAACACTACTTAAAATATAAATAAGCACATACATTAAATTAATAAAAATTAGCTTACAATCCTAATTACTTTAAACTAAATCATTGCTAATGATTTAGTTCACCAGTTTGTCTTTTTGCTTTAGAATGTCACACACTGTTGTTTCCGCAATTCCGTAATCCAATTCCATCTGCTGCCTTGTAGTGCCGTTTGCTACTTTGGAAATTAATTCTAGTTTTTGTGCAATCGTCAACACAACCTTCTTTTGTTTTCCTGACATTTTAAATCGGTAACGAGAAACACATAACCAAAATGCGCAAGCACTAAACACAATAAAAGATAAGAAATTAACTCCGACCGGTTCGCAAACACTATCAGGCTTAAACTAACATTGGTGAGTGGGAGGAAGTGGACGGGTCAGTAAGATTAAGACGTGAGAGTGTGGTGGAGCGGGCACTGCAAGGGTGAGTAAGAAAGCGCTTACTCATCAGAGGGGAAGGTTCCGAGAAGGCCTGGGATGTTGTTGCTATAAATAAGCACGGTGTTAGCAAGTTTAACGTTTCACTCAGCTTTGTGAAAATTTTTATTTTCTTTGCTTTACACTTGTAAAAAAAAAAAATTGTGCGGCAGACGCGGATAATCGGGAGTCTTCTGTACTGCAGTTTTCCATATTTGAGTTTTATGAACAGGAAACTGTAATGCCTATTCCTGTTCCATATTCAGATATGCTCAGACATATCTTTTCCATGCTTTTGTTCCCTGTATAGCATATCCACATTCTATGATGCCATTCATTTAACTTTGTCATACTTTGTATATGAACCTTATAAAATGTAATTGTGTGTTGGATTTTTATTAATTTATAAATTTTTTAAAAACTATTATTATATATGTTCTCGTATGCAAATTCATAGGCTAACCGTAAGCCATTGAAAGTGACAAAACCAGAGAAAAAAAGTGAAGATTCCCATACAGCAAAACCTATAAAAAAGGAACCAGAAGATTCATTTGAAAGAAAAACTGTGAAAAGGGAAGCTGATGACTCGGATGATGAACCTCTTGCTTTAAGGTAATTAAAATTTTATGTATTAATAGCAATCTCTTTAATGTATATAAACATGTTGGTGTAAATAAATCATGCAAATTTTTCCCATTCAATTTTATTTATTTATTTTTTGTTAGATCAGTTAAAATTATTTTAGTGTGTTGAATTAAAACTAAAAATGATCAAATTTTGAATAAACTAAATAAGATAATTTAGGCCTCAATAATAATTTTTTTATTAAGCTAATGGATTATGTAAATTTAAATATTATTTAAAATCTTGATTTTATTATACTTAACGAATGGAATGTTTTGTTGTTTAATTGTAGAGAATGTCGGGATACAGGATAGTTGTTAAATTTCATTACCTTTTTTTAGCCCAAAGGGCAATTTGCATAAAAGGGCTATTTATTAATTTGAATTGATTCAATATAAATATTGTTTCACTTTTCAAATTGTTGCCAGCAAATATTAGAACCCTGCATTATATTTAATTAAATAACGAAGAATCTGAATGAATCTAGTATATATGTTTCTCGCACTGTGGAAAAACAACTGTACCTAGAGCCATCCAATTTTGAATAATAGAGTCCTCCATTCGAATATGGGCATCTGGAAGCCCAAATTTAAAATTTCATTATTATCCATTTCATAATTTGACAAATACTAAAGAATTTTTTATTAACAAATTCGATGATTTCAAAGCGAGGAATGGCATCATTGTATGGAAGAAAAAAAAAAGATTTAAAATTATGTCCAAAAGGGCCTTTTTTTAACATTTTGTGTTTTACCTTTATTTATTAAATATCATGTTCTTCGCACCTAAACCATAAAATTCAGTTCAAGAGCAATAACGCGAAATAATTTTGAAATGAATATATCTTTAGAATTTCTGATACACTGCCTCACGCACTGGAGATAAAAATGTTTTTTCTGTACAGCATTGCCATTGCTTGCTTTGAAATCCTTGAGTTTGTTAATCAAAAATTTGTTAAACAGGGTTCATAGCGGTCCTCACAAATGTGTATAAGTCCTAATGTTTGAAAATAAAATATAAAAGCTCTTTTAGGTGCTTATTTTTTCTCTAAAGCACATTATTTTAAGTGCTTATTTTTTGCTTTTAGTGTTTTTTTTTTTTAAAGGAATGCACATTTCCCCCCATAACAAAGCTAAATAAACAACTTCCTTATTTGGAACGTCTGATGGTGAATCATACTCCCAGAAATAGCTTTTTGCCCTCTCTCTGCATTAACATAACCTTTGGTGCCCAGGAGTACAGATAGGTGTATGTCGTTCTATTGGTCAAACCACTACAGTCCGTATTCTTTTGCTCTCGCCCATTACTACTCATGTTTGAATTTCTATCAAATGTTTTAATAATTTACATTCTCATTTTGCATGGTCAGTTCATATTCATGTTCATTATGATTAGTATGCTTATATTATGAGCATATGTGTGAATATTTATACAGTTGTAATTGGACAGGTGCTTATTTTTTTAACTAAAATGTGCTACAAACCCTGTTAAAATTTTACAAAATATAAAATCAATAATAAAACCAATTTCAATTTGGGCTCATATTCGCAGGAGGATTGCGTTATTCAAAATTTGGTGGCTCTAGGTACTGTAGTTTTGTCAGAATGTGAGAAACATGCATACATTTATGCAGATTCTTCACTATTCAATTTCTTTAAATATAATACAGGGCGATAATAGTATGTGGCAACAATTTGAAAAGTGAAACAATGCTAGTAGTGAATCAATGCAAAATGCCAAAACAAAATTAATACAGTCAAAAGTCGTTAATCCGGACTCGTCGGGACTTCGGCGATTCCGGATTATCGATTTATGTGGATTATAGATCATCAGTTTAAATCTGGTAAGATGACATGCAGAAATTATAACATTAAAAATATGAAACCGTAATAAAGAACAATTATGATCTAAAGGGTATCAAAATTTACATAAAAAAGCTTAATATTTATTTGTTTACTTTACTTTCTTCGCTATCGGAGGCGAATTATAATGACGAGGAATTTGATTTAAATCATATCAAATCGAGATAAAATACTACATTTAGTAAGGAATTATAAGCCAAATAAAATAAAAACATCTGCCCTGAAGATAAGGATAGTGCTAACAGATCAACTTCCAATTCGTTGCGCGCCGCGTCGTCCTACGCCGCAGCGTAGCAGTGTGAAATTGATAAACAGATTTCGGAATGGTTAGATAAACAAATGATATGCCTTTATTCATTTTTTGCAGCACTTCCACTTTTTGTTTAATGGACTTCGAAACATACTTTCGCTTTGTAGATCCTTTACGTATTAGTAAATATATTGGAAATTCTATTTGACATGATCGAAAGTTCAAGCTTACTTTTATAAAATTGCTCTAACAGTCTGCAAAAAATAATAAACCAGATCCAATTTGAAGATTAAGGAACAACGCAATCTGCAACATTAACTGAATTAGATAATTTTAGCTTAGCTTATATCGTCTGTTATACATTAAACGTGCATGCGTAAACGTATTTTGAGCATGCATACACGCATATTCGCAGCCGTAAAGGTCTTACGTGCATGCGTCAACTCGACGCATGTGCAGAAAGTTTGTAGCTTTGAGGTCCGGATTATAGATCATTCCGGATTATGAGTGTCCGAATTAAAGACTTTTGACTGTAGTCCATCTGGGCAAATTGCCATCGGAAATTTTAAGGATGTGGTCTTTTAAATATTTTGTGATATTGCTGTTAAATTGAATTTTTATAGTTTAACTGCGAAGAACATTATATTTAATTAATATCACATAAAATGTTAGAAATGCCCTTTTAGCCGTAATATAAAATCTGAAATCTTTTAGATTTTTATTTAATTAGTGCACAGTTTTTCTATTTAGTGAAATGCAGTATACATTATCTGCTAGCTGGCCATTTATATACAAATAAATTCACTCATTCGATATTCCTGTTTCAAATGTGCATAAGCCTGTTCAAATGTCTATGATTTTCAAAACATTTTACTAATTTATTTTTAATATTTTTTTCTTTTTAAATAAAATGTAAAATACAGCATATTATTCTTAAGTAATATGTTTTTAACCATCATGCAACATTTGGAAAAGTTTGGTGCAGTATTTTTTAAGAAAAGTGTACCAAACTAGCACACTGTCACAAAAGAATTGCGGAAAAAAAGAGAAATTAAACATATGGTTTTTAAAAACATTAGGCTTTTAATTTATATTTTATGTGTTTTATATAATCTACAATCTGTCTTTTTTAAATAAAAAAAAAAAAAAAAAGAATCTAGAGTATAAGTTTGTTTTGAGAAAAATTATACCCTAATAACTGTTGTCTCGAAATAGTTGCATTTCGCCAGTCGATATGTCATATGTTCCCTTAAGCCCAAAAGCGGCCGAGCGGTAAAGTCGCTGAACACTGGTAGTTCGGTCCGAGGTTCGAATCCCGCGAACAGGCTGGCTGCATGAATGTTTTTGTGGTTTTCCCCATGTGTAACGTGTATACGAGCCAGTTTCCCTTAGAAAGTCCTTCATGAAGGCATCCATCCCCTTAGGCAGATAGCCCTCGAGGCTTTGCCATAATTAAATAACCTAACCTAACCATTGTCCCCTTAAGCCATTTTTACATTCCAAATGCCACTCTCAGAACAACAAAATGAATGACTTCCATATAACAAACAAATACTCGCATAAAAGGTGTATGTGGTCGCAAGTGTAAATCAAAGATATATATATAACTAAATAATACAATAATACAATAAAAAGGATCTAAATATTTACAGATATATGCAACACCATGGAAAGAATAGACATACTTGATAAAATTTTTCTATCTTTTATTGCTGCCATATTTTGTTTTGCAAGTTTTGGTTTTATAGTTACAGTTTTAAGCATTGCGTTTGAAATTTGCTGTAACTCAGAGCAAAAAATAGATATTACCTTAGTGTTTTTTTAATGCTATAGAATTATTCATAATAATGATTAAAATATTATGTAATGATAAAAGCAACTTTGCATAAAGAAATTATAAATAATGTATCTTGTGGAATTTTATGTATTCTTTTAAGGAAAGAGAAGAAGAAGTTAAAGACAGAAAAAGAAAAAGCTCAGAAGAAAAGGAAAGCTGAAAGTGAAGATGAAGATTATGATACAAAAAAGGTATTTTGTGTAATGCAGAATTTGTAAGTAAGCACTTAGTTTTAGGCAGTGTGGTTTATTTTTTTCCATAGAATTAAATGTATAAATAATTTGTTCAATATTTCAGCCTCTCAAAAAGGTAAAAAAAGAAAAGCCTTCTCAAAAGCCAAAGCAAGAAGCAGAAACTGGGAGCCCAAAAAAGAGAGTAAAAAAAGAAGAAGAGCAAGAGGTTTGGAAATGGTTAGTTAACAGGTCATATGTACATGTTTTAAAAGTAATAATGTCTTATCTGTTCTTCATGTATGCAGCAATAAAGTGCTGAGTGTAGTTTTTCAAAGCTGGTAATTATTTGAATGGGTTTTTTAATAATTCAAGCTTTATGTTTAACTTTTTGATTTTGCTTTAAATTTTAACATGTGGTTTTCATCCATTTATATTGTATATCAAATTATAGAGAAACTTTTTTTTTACTTCAATATTGAATTCTAAAGCAGTTTAATAGAGACTGTTTTAGTGGTACGTACAATGCTTACATTGATATTCGGTATCTCATAATTCATTCCTAGTACTTAAGCATTATTATTATAATAATTTTCACATTCCATTGTTTAAGTTCAGCATTGGTGGTGCTTAAAGATAGTTTTTTGAGTAATGCTCATTTAAAGAGATTTAATGGTATTGTGTGAACTGATTTCTTCGTCACCTTGGTATAGCACTTCTAGATTCTTTTATAACAGGTTGGTAAAAGACTATATTTTTATACCTAAATGTGGCTTTTAATTTTAAATAACAAATTATAGACTTTATTCGAATAATGACACTTAAAATGCTGTGGAATGCATAATGAAAATTTGAATATTGAATGGAATAATGCACATAACATGAGCATTTACTAAATTTTTTTATTTTAATATAAAACACTCACTAATTTGTTTTGTTAATGTAATTTTGTAAATTTCTTTCGTAAATATGCTTTCAATAATTTGTTTGCTACATAATTTGTTTTGTAATACAACTGGATTTGTTATTGAGCCTTTTTACTATTCTTCAGTTAAATGCGCTGAATAATTTATGACCACACTTATATAAGGAAGTAAGAAACATATATTGCAAAGATTTGTTTATTTTTAAAAGTTAAAGGTTTAGCAATGTGTATGGTTTACCTAATATTTATGTAATTTGCCATATATTTACATATTCTTCATTAGCCATATTTTGAAAATGTTGAGATTTCCATCAAAATCAACAATTTGTTTTTGAAATTGAGTATAAATTACATGAGAAAATTTTCTGTAACGAAGTTCACACTAATTTATTGTGTTGTATATAATTTATATTTTGAGCTATTTCAATTAAAGAATTGTTTTCATTCTATCAATAAGAGTTGTTATGTAAATGCTGAAAATAATGTAAATTTTCTAGCATATATCAAAATTCACTAAGATTTTTTAGCATACCATTTTGTTATTTTTAGTTCCCCTTCTTTTAAAAGAAAGTGTGAATTCTCGAGTTGCATTGTATTTTTAAATATTTCAGGTGGGAAGAAGAAAAACTTGAAGATGGTGTAAAATGGAAAACTCTTGAACACAATGGCCCTGTCTTTCCACCTCCATATGAACGTGTTCCAGACAATGTTAAATTTTACTATGATGGTAAGTTATATTTCTAAATTTCAAAGAATGATTTATATGAGTCACATTGTCTGTATTTTATGCGATCTGTTGGGATATATATCTTTAATAAATATGACATATTTACATAGTATTTTGAAGACCATGTGAGAATTTAAAAAATAGTGAGAGATAAAGGGTTATTGGATTTATCGACTGTTTAACATTTAAAAGTGAATACTTCAAAGTATGTGAATTTGTTGGCACCTGCTTGGTCTATAACTGCATTACTAGTTATCAGCCAGCTGACTTTTGATTATTAGTGAAGTACTGCCTACATTACAGTTTTGCTAACTAAGAGAAGGCAATTTAAATTTTTACTTATTCCTATTACTCATAGAAGTTAAGTTTAGCAATTGAAAAGTCCTCTGCAACTTAAATACCTGATAATGTTAAAATACAGCATAAACAAAAATACTAAAGGCAAATATTGGAAAAACACATTAACTGGTAACGATTTTCTTAACCACTAGCAATCTAGGAATATGTCTGATGAGCACGCTATGTCCTTCTATTCATGCCCAGGCAAGAGACTGCAAAACTAACATTGGAACATCTACAATATATATGTGTATTATTTCTACAAGCTAGTCTTCTATTTTCTGTAAAAATTTATAATATATCTTTAAATGTGCAATAATTTATGTCTTTTCTATAGGTATGTACCAAAATAAAAAATTTAAAGAAAAATTGGCTATTTAAGCTGTGAAGAATTACAAATATAAAAATGGTAGCAATACTGTGCGTTGTAATCTATCGCTGATATAATCTAATAATATTGTAATCTATCAACCACATATCTAATTTTTCTGTATCGTGAAAATCTTTTTCCTGCTTTTAAATTCTTCATATTTTGTTAACAAAAAAAAAAAAAAAAAAAGCATTTTTTTTTTTTTTTTTTTTTTTTTTTTTTTTTCCCCTTTTAAGTGATGATGTGTGACTGCTAAATATTATTTAAGTTTAGTAGCCCTAATTTTAATTTATTTATATTCTGTCTGCCTTATCGAGTGAATTTGAATCATATGTGTTCAGCAGTAAAAATGATTTTTACAAAAAATAATAATAATAATTTGCCTTGCCAATACTGTATATGTTGGAAAAATTTTAAGTATTAAAAGGAAGTGTGTGCTTTTTCACACATATTTTATTTTTTTGAACTAGTTCTTAAACTGAAGTTCTGATTATCCAGAGGATAAATATTATTTATATATTTGTTTTTTCTTTACAGGCAAACCTATGAAATTAAGTGAACTGGCTGAAGAAGTAGCTGGCTTTTATGGTAGAATGCTTGATCATGAATATACCACAAAGGATGTCTTCAATAATAATTTCTTCAAAGATTGGAGGAAGGTTGGTAAAGTCTGATCATTTATAAATTCATGTGCTTGATTTAGGAATATTGTTTTAGCTTCAATTTAAAAATAATAAGTTTTAAGGGGTTTCCCTACACACACACACAATTCATTGATTGAAACTGAGAAATTAACATGTCTTACTTTTTTAAATCATACTTTATTTCCCCAAAATAATTATTTCCATCGTTAGGAAAATTACCTTTTTAGTGTTTTGTAATCTTGTTATTATTGTTGATGACTTGAATTATTTGTTATACAACTTTTTCAAAAAGTATTATCCATTTTGAATTTGCTTTGTTAATAATATTGCTGCCATTGACCTTAATAAAAAAGAATAAAAAAATACAAAATTTATTACTTCAATTTTAGAATTGTGTTGTTTCTTTTTTCAGTTCACATTTGAAATATGTTAAATCTTTTCTTAACTATATCACATACCACATATCTGATTTTTCTGTATCATGAAAATTTTTGTTCTGCTTTTAAATTCTTCATACTTTGTTAAACAAACAAAGCTTTGTGTGCCTCTTACTTGAACGTTGTTCATCATTAATGATGTTTGTTCCAAAGATATTGTCATTTACAATCTTGATTGTTGTCAATAAATGTTTAAAATGTTTTCTTTAAAAAAGTGATAATATCCTTCTCTTGAAAGTAATGAGTTGCAATAATCTTGTCATCCCATTTCTTATTCTCCTTTTTTAGTTTCAAAATCGCCTGAATTCTCTGTAGGCTTTTTCATAATAAAATTTGTAGTAGTTGTGAAGACATAAATTCTTTAGAAAATTTTAGTTTGCTTTGGTATAAGAAAACTGTAAATTTTTAAGAAATGAAAGCGATGTGTAAGATGAAGATTGATATGTAATTGCTGATTCATAGTACAGATAGTTGGTATAATTTATTATATCTAAATAGTAAAAAATATTTCATAACACTGCAATACTTAAGTATACAGAATCAATCTTGATTTTTAAGAAGTTTTCAAGAAAAAGTGTTTTTCTGTAAATTTAAATCATGCCCTCTTTTTTGAAATTCTTAACTCATAAAATAATTTCTCTTTTGAAAAATGTCTTTAAATTATTTTAGGTCATGACACCTGAAGAAAGAGAGATTATTAAAGACTTAAAGAAGTGTAATTTCAAAGACTTCGATGTATATTACAAACAAAAATCTGAAGAAAGAAAAAATATGAGTAAAGAGGAAAAAGCTGTATGTTATATATATATATATATATATTATCATTTTAAAATATTTGAAAATAATTAGCCTTCAGTTATTTTGTGCTAATTAATTAATGTTATAAAAATTTCAGGAAATAAAAAAACAGAATGAAGAATTGACTGCAAAATATGGTTTCTGTATAATTGATGGTCACAAGCAAAAGATTGGCAACTTTAAAATTGAGCCTCCAGGTTTATTCAGAGGACGTGGAGAGCATCCTAAAATGGGGATGTTAAAACGACGTGTTGAAGCTGAAGATATAATGATCAATATTGGAAAGTAAGTTCTTAATATATCTTTGTATTGCAGATTAAATATAAGATATTCTCTAATATTAAAAAGGAAACTTTGCATCTTTTTAGCTGTATCTTGAACTAACAGCTTTTATTGTCTTTTTTGGCTATGTCTTGAACTAGCAGCTTTTTCCTTTTTTTCTAGGTGTCTTTTGAACTAGCAATTCTTATTTTTGCAAAACTACTTAAAAAATGTAAGGACTTTTCAATCACTGCTAATTTGCTGAAATTGCCCATTAAACCTGGTTTTATCAGCAACATATCAATAGTTCTTTTGTCCAAACAATGGAAAATAAAAGGATTATCTTGGTAGATCACCAAATTGCAATGTTTTTAATTTTAAGCCTTTAGTTAAGAAAATATGGTAATGATTTTATATGCAATTTACTGCTTTTAGTTAGTTGGCTTTGGATGAAATTCATGACTACTATTTTTCTAAAGTATTTGCAAAAAGATAACTTGGTAGTTCTAAAAAATAATTTTTTTAAATTTAATTATTTTTAATTAGACTACCTTGAATAATCATTCAACTTATGCATTATTAACTTACTACAGTTATCCAAAAGAGACTGGGTTTAGATTCATTTAAAACATACAATGTTATTTTTAAAAAATGGCTGATTTTCAGAGGGAAAAAAATGCTTAAATCATTGGCACTTAGCCCTTTCACGTTATGAATGTAAAATTCCATATAGAAAAGTGTCTTTCATATTCGTTTACACATGAAACTTGCTGCCAGCTTTTAGTGTGTCTGATATAGGTTGGAAATATATTGCAAGGAAAAAAAATCAATATACAAAGTGAGAGAGTTTTTATTTATTTATTTATTGTTATTATTATTATTATCAAGAAAATACCATTTATTCATGGCATTTTGAGAAACTTTGAAATTTCAGGGCTAAACCTGTAATGCTGAGAGCATTTATGCAAATTCCAGTCTCTCACCTTTATGATTTTCAGTCTAACTTTTATTATTTTGGATTGTCTTAATGTACTGTAATAAAGATTCAGACAATGATTAATCAGTTAATAAATTACATTTAATTTTTTCTTTATATCTTTATACAGAACAGTACAAAACTTATCTTACTTAACGTTTTACAAAACTTAACTTCCATTAACTCTTAATTTTTTTGTCATAAAGTACTTTGGTTAATAAAAACTTATACAAAATGAAATTAGCCAAAGAACATAAAATTTAGAATATTTAATTCATATTTTATGTACTAAAAATAATTCAATAACCTGAAGTCATGTATTATATAATAAATTTAAGCCAATTTTGAGGTCTGCATGCAATTTGGAAACCTCTGTATTTCAGATTTCAAGGTTGGCAGCTGTAAAAGCTGTTTGATCAAGAAGAATTAAAATTTAACTTACTATCACTGCAGGGCTAACTGGCAGTGAGAGAAAAAAATATGCATATGCATTGTATTGATATATGCTATTTACCAATTACTATCTGTTGTACTGTGAGATTATAAAGAGTAGTTCATACTGTTTCCATTTCAACAATGTGTATATCAGAAACATATGATTACATTAAATTGATAATTACTTGCTTGATTACATTTAAATTGTTAATTCTAATTTATACTTTGACCTTAAAAGGGTATTCTGACTTAAGTGAGAGGAGAAAAATTTTGTTGGTAGGTCTTGCTATTTTCTTTTAAACTAAACAGCATGATTCTTGTTTTATTTTGCAACATATATGCTGCTCTTCAGTCTGTTATGATACATATGAAGTTAAGGGAAAGTGAATGCCCAAGTTATACAAAGCAAGTATTCAATGTCTGACCTGAAATTGTTATGTGACTTTATTAATATTTATTGCTATGGACAACATATCTTGTCTGCCAAAAATTTTCATCTATTGCTAGTGATGAGATATCTTGTCCTCTGCATCATATCTTTCAGTCTGCAAGTGAATAATTAAGCTAAAAATTTGGAAAGGCAAATCTATCACCAAACCAGATTATATTTTGGATTACAAGTACATTTGTGGTATCAACAGACAATTAACTCCTTTCATTATACTCGCCATTGTGCGAAAAATGATACTGAAAAATTCACACTAGTACACTAAAATTAGTAGGAGATACTCAAGAGACGTGGTTTTGCAAGGAAATCATTCTTATGTTGCTAACCCCAAAAAGGTACATTCGGCACACTCTTTTGACTAGTTTATTATGAGTAAAGTAAGTTTCTTCCAATTCACTTAGTCTTTATTACAAGGGATAGCCAGCAGTTGAATCATACCAGCAATGAATATGTTAAGAAATGTTTAAATTGGATGAAAATTTGGCAGATCCCTTTGTTGGCGAATAATAAATTCTAATTTTTTTAGAAAGTCATGCAACATGCTCTTATACTATGTTATTCGACTTTTCTACAAAGTATTTAATATGCATGTCAATTTTTCAGGGAAGCGAAAGTTCCGGAACCACCTCCAGGTCACAAATGGAAAGAAGTTCGTCATGATAATACGGTTTCATGGTTAGCCAGTTGGTCCGAAAATATTCTTGGGTCTACAAAGTACATCATGTTGAATCCAAGCTCAAAATTAAAAGTTAGTATGATGGGGGAAAAAAGAGCATATTTATGTAAGTTTTTTGCTTTTTGTGCTAGAAACATTAGAGAGATATGATTAAGGTTTATTTTGTTTTCTTTATGTAGGGAGAGAAAGATTGGCAGAAATATGAAACAGCTCGTAAATTGAAAGCTCATGCAGACAGAATAAGAGCAGAATATACAAGAGATTTTAAATCTAAAGAAATGAAAGTGAGACAGAGAGCTGTTGCACTGTATTTTATAGATAAAGTAAGTTTCTTTTAGGCAGTTTGTAAATTTCTGTTACTAATTCTGATTTAAGTTCTCAAATAACAAACATAGGTTTAAAAAAAGGGGGGGATTTTGGCTAATATTTAAAAAAAAAAAAAAAAAAATTTTTTTTTAAATATTAGCCAAAAATCCCCCCCCCTTTTTTTTAAACCTATGTTTTGTTATTTGAGAACTTCTTAAATCAGAATTAATTTTTTTTTTTTTAAATATATATTTACATATAAAGGAAAACAAATTTGTAATGTTGTAGTTAAAAAATAAGTATTAATTTCCTTTTATGCATTGCAATTAAATAAAGTTTAAATTTTTAATTATATTTGCTTAAATAAGCAACGTGAGTAGTATGTAATGGGAAAACATATACAAAATAAACTGATTGAAATAATTTTTATAATCATTCAAATTATTGTCTTTAATGTAGAACTAAAATCTGCATAAATCTTTTCCACTGCATATCTGTGTAAACATGTAATAAGTAATGGATGTGCCTCAATAGAGGATGAATGGCAGAAATAGCAGAACAGGTATAGTTCATCTGGTTTCTATACGTATGATTAAATGCTTGTATGGGATTTTTATGATTAATCACACATCTAACTGGAATGCGAGTTGTTTCCTTTAACCTCCATGTGTTTTGCAGAATCAATCATACTTGCAAATAACAATTAAGCCATAATAATAATAAGTTTAAAGAAATTTTTGTGATAATGTTTGTTGGTTGGTTGTTTCTCTAAAACATAGTCAAAAATTTGCTGTAGATTTCTAATTAAAAAAAAAAAAAAAAAAAAAAAAAAAAAAACTTGTTTTTTTATAGCTTGCATTGAGAGCTGGAAACGAAAAAGATGAGGATACTGCCGACACAGTAGGTTGTTGTTCTTTACGAGTTGAGCACATTACTTTGGATGAAGAAAAAGATGGTCAAGAATATGTTGTCAGTTTTGACTTCTTAGGTAAAGATTCCATCAGATATGTAAATTCTGTTCCTGTTGAAAAGCGAGCTTTCAAAAATCTGAAGCTTTTCATGGAAAATAAACAGCCTGGTGATGACTTGTTTGATCGCTTGAATGTAAGTGGATAAAATGCATTTATATTTAATAACAAATGTATGTTTTTTGCAATTGTTAAATATTTTTGTATTAAAAATTTTCATTCTAAACATAAGTATTTTTACTGTAAACATGCGAGAAGTGTGTATTAAGAAAGTAACTCATAGATCAACTGTATATTATGTAAAATATTCAAAATCTTTTATAAATCCTATATTCATTAACTTATTATATTTGCTTACTTATTTATACCTTTTTTTTTTTTTTTTAAACTAATTTTACATCATGAAAATTGAGAGAGGAAAATTACATGGTGTTTAATGTTTCTGAGAGAGATTTAAATGAACATAGGACATTAAAAATAATATAAACTTTCATATTATTACTGTAATCTATATTTTCAAGTTTAATTTATTAATGTTAGTAGTATTTTTCTTTTTGTCTGCACATTTTGCATTATAAATTCGAAATTTCTAAATAATATTCTGAAAAGGCTTGGAAGAATATATGCAAATAAATATGTAGCATTGTACTAAGATGGCAAAGCAAATGTACTCAGAATTTTATAATTATATAAACGTATCACTGTAATAGACATCTTCTGTAGAACCTATTTGTTGTTTATTATGCTTGAATCTGTTAAAGTTAGATTATTATACATGCATTTTTAGTAGCTACTGGTCATGGAAGCTGTAAATGTATTTTACCCCGTTTAGTTTTTAATTCTTTGACACCTTAATTTCTTTTTGGGGGATAATTGGAGCTAGTTTAGCTCTAGCTTTGTATCATATCACTCTTTAAAACATTAAAGAAGTGTCCAATTCCAGCAAATAATATCAATATAATCATCCCAAGCTATTACTGCACTCTTAGTGTTAATAAATATATATGGTAATAAATGGTTTGATATCTTAACATTTTTGTCTTGTCATCTTAAAACGAAACAAATTTAATGCTAAATACATTATTTACTATTTAGAAATAAACATTAATACATATTTAAAATCATTCATCTCACTTAGATTGTTTTTAAAACTAATTTAATGATAAATACAATATATACAAGATAAAAATAAATATCAATACATATTTATCATCTTAATATTGTTCATCTCACTTTGATTTTGCTCCCTTGAACTAAACTGGTGAGAGTTTCATCATTTACACTCATGCAATAAACAATTAAATCGTATAACGTGTGAGAGAAAGTGTTAGGCTATAGAGTTAGATATGTAAAAACCCCACATTAAGAAAATGAGGTAGTACAAATTTAAGAGTTTTTGTATATGTGTCTTTTTTTTTTTTTTTTTTTAAATGTTTGCTAAACAGTATAAGTTGGTGATGGTTGATTCATTTGTTTAAATCGAAATGCTTGGGAAAAAATATAAGTAATATAGAATGAAATATATAACTTACTGAGATATTAAGCATTTGTTGTTTTATAATTTTATCATGTTATCCAAACTGTTTTAATCACCATTTTTTGCTATTTCTAATTACAAAATATCATATGTGCTTTAGAAGTGTCTTGGGTTCACATACTCATTGAGAAGAATTTTAAATTTTACATCTAACTATATCTAATTATGGCAAATATGTTCTTAATTTTCAGTTGGTTCAAAGTTTCACTGAGTCACTTTTTAATTATTCTGTCTCTGAATATTTAAATAGCATTTAGATATTGTTGAATCATATGTTTGCATCCTTAAAATTCATATTAAATGCAGAGTTGTGCTGATGTATAAGCTTGATTTCTTGATTAATATATTTTTTGTTCTTGTAGACTGCAATTCTGAACAAATACCTGAATGATCTCATGGAAGGCTTGACTGCCAAAGTCTTCCGTACCTACAATGCATCTAAAACGTTGCAAGAGCAGTTGGATCTGTTGACTAAAGGTAGGTAGTTACTTATTTCAGGAAACAAGAGAAAATGGTTTCTATTAAAAATAAAACAACACTTTTAATTTAAATATTTTCCAGAATTAAGTATTGGTATATTTCAAAAACAAGTTTGTGCGGTTTAATCAGAATTTCTGTTAGATCATTGTTAGTTAATAAATTTGAATTTAGAACTTCAAATACTGTTACTGAAATTTTAAAATGTTTATATACTTTTTTAAAAAGTTATTCTACGACTTTTTGAATAGGTATTTAATGTATGTATTTGCATTTTTGTATTCTATAGCTTGTTAAATGGAAGGAAGAATTTTTTTTTAAATTTTATTTTGAAATCAGAAAGCACAAGTTTTTATATAATTTTTCTGATTTTCATGTATATACATTTTACAATTTTGTTGCAGAGGATATGTCATTACCGGAGAAACTGCTAGCATACAATCGAGCAAATAGAGCCGTAGCTATTCTTTGCAACCATCAACGGGCTGTTCCTAAAGGATTCTCCAAGAGCATGGAAAACCTCAAAGCTAAGGTGATACATTTATTTTAATTTGTGATTTGTTATTCATTTAATCAGTTTATAACTGTCTTACTATCTTCAGCACATCCATTTTATCTGAAAAGTATGTAATTTTAACCATTTTTGGAAAAGTACCCGAAATTCTTTTATAAATTTATGATAAGCATTTTTAGAGCTATTTTAAAGGTGGTTTTTTAAATTAGTTACCTTAATCTAACTTTTACTTGAAGATAGTAATTGGTAATTTTTTTACAATAATAGCTATTTAATATGATCAGGTTGCTGCTGCTGTTGCTTATTCTCATTGTCTGCATATTTAACCTCCTGGTCTCTAAAATAGTCATGGTATCTGGCCTTGCCAAAGGTCTTGTTCACATATGATGATAACAAATTTATTCCAATTAAGTTTTAGTTAGAATGATTTTTAGGTTGACTTGGTGGGGGAGAGGGGGAATTCAAAGGTCTGGTACTATTCTGCTATAAAACAACTCTGTGTGACTTTTCTGAGTTGACAGATTCTTGCTTGCCACAAAGACAGTATATAACCTTCCTTGTCTTCTCTAGGATTTGAACTAGAACCTACTGACAGAACTACCAGCTTTGCTAATTATATTATTTCAGTGTAGTGATAAAATTCGCAACTGTGGGATTGATTCCAATAACTCGATCATTATGAGATAAAAGCTTCTGCGACCAACTTGACTGCTATTAGTATTGCATTTATATAATAATTATTAGTATTGTATTTATACAATAGTAAGTGATTAATTATTAAAAAAAAAGCTTTTATAGTAGTCTGTTTTGTATTTTTTTAAAGATGTACAGATAAAAACTTTGTTTTAACTTGGTAGTTAATAATGTTACATTTATTCTGTAGTAAGTAAAGCATACTGTACTGTTATACTGTACCTGGGTGAAGCATTTATTATAGAGTTTTTTTTCTTTGAAATTAATTGTCCATATTAAAATGCATTTTAAAATTTAGCTGGTCACTGATATCATATCTAAAATAAAAAATCTTGCACCCTTCTACATTCTTCCATTGGTCAGAGGCTTCCTCATGATTACTTTGGGTTAGTTAAACCTGTATTTTTCACCGTGAGGGAGTGCAGATGTCGACTCTAATCTTTTCATTGCTCACTTCAGTGTCTCCTTCATTTGACATCCAGGCATAAAAATTATTCACATTGTTGGTAGGGGGATTTCTACATATTAAGATGATGAAAAGGCATTTTAGCTTCTTTAAGAAAGCTATTATGTATCTGTTATTTTTTGTTTTATAATGTGCATAAAGAAATTCAATTATCAAAATGACGCCCTTTGTGAAGGGCCATTTAACATTAAAATAATTGTCTTCTGTTCCTTTAATATTCTATGCCTTCCCTCTTTAATTGCAGTAAAGAAAGCACTGCTTGCAGCTTGCATAATGCTTTGAAGGACACTTTGCAAGTTGTGTCAGAAATCTACTGTCAGACTACTAGCAAAAAGCGAATAAGTTATTTATAATAGTCAATAGTATGTTTAGATTTAATCTAGAAAAAACCACCATTTTCTCAAATCCAATATTTTACTTTAAATGTTCTTTATATGCTGAAATAAATTTCACAAAATTTATAATCACTATGGGAGAACTGGAAAATTCAATTTCTTGATACCTTTCACTACTAGAATAAATCTAGCATAAGTGATGTCATAGGCAGGTCTTTGCAGAACATAGACATAAATATAGAAATTATATCCCTCTCTATATAGATGGATCAAAATCCCGAGATCACGTTGGTGCAGCCTTTGTGGTATAAAAAACAATTGGGGGGGGGGCTTCAATTACATCCAGCTTGTTCTGTTTTTGATCTGAGCTTACTGCAGTTTATCAGGCTTTAACGTTTCTGTCAAAACAACATTACAGGAATTTCATTATCTATATTGATTCCTTGGATGCCCTAAAATTATTAAAGAGCCTACGTATAATTCACATCCCATTATTACCAGAATTCTGAAGCTAAATCAGACTCTAAAATAGCTGGGATATCAGATTCTCTATTCCTGGATCTTTGGCCACACTGGCATAAAACAGAACAAACTAGCTTACATTACATTTAAAACTGCTACTACAATGTCTATATCCCAGATCCCACTCAGGGGTATCAGGGGTGATGATCAAATGTAAAAATTTCAATAAATGGCAGAGGCACTGGGATAGCTAAACAGACAATAAGCTTAAACCCACTATTAAATGCTGTCAGTCTGCGGCAAATAGAAAGGAACAAGGTACCTTAACCTGGTTGAGAATATGTCGTTGTCGACTGACTTGCAAGGGTCTGCTGAAATGCGAGAAGATTCCCCATCGCCCAGATTGTAATGCACATCTGACAGTCCACCATATTTTATTAGAATATCATAGTTATTTTAACTGAAAACATCATCACAAGTTTTTCCAGTTTTTAAGGTATGTTGACTTATTAATTGAATTATAAACTGTAATCTGTTTTTACCTAATCTAAAATACCTAGCGTATTCGGAAACTAAGTACCGTTTCATTCTAGCGCTGTCGTAGGCGTCCCGCGCATGCGCACTAGTCTTTCTTGTTCACTGACTTTCAATTGCCGCCGTTTTGGTTGCTCTATGTTGTGTTTTCAGTTTGCTGTGCACATTCAAAATGTTTAAGACAATTAGTTCTCCCCGCTCACTGTGAAATTCGTGCCGTGATTAAATTTTTTAACGTGAGGAATGTTAAACCGGCCGAAATTTATCGTCAAGTGACAGAAGTTTACGGTGAATGCGCGATAAGTGATGGAATGGTGAAAAGTGGGTAAGAATGTTTAATGCAGGTCGAACAAATGTCCACTCCGAGGCTCGGAGTGGTCGGCCTTCTGTTGTCACCGATGATTTGGTAAGGAAAATTGATGAAGCAATTCATGAGAGCAGACGCTTCACAATGACAACTCTTTCAGAGGCATTTCCACCGTCCGACTATCACTTGTTCCTGCACATGAACCGCGAGCTTGATGGCAAGTGCTTTGGATCTGACGATGACATGAAAAATGCTGTGGAGTCGTGGTTATCGAAACTGGTGGGAAGTTTTTTTGACGATGGTATACAAAAACTGGTCACCCGCTATGACAAGTGTTCGATCATTGGCGGAAATTATGATGAAAAATAGTATAAGACATGTATTTTCATGTAAAAATAAAATTGGATTCGAAAAAATTGTTTTACTTTTTTTCTCTCCCAAAACGGTACTTAGTTTCCGAATACGCCTCATATAAAATAATAATCCACATTAAACTTTTCCTAGCATACTTTGTAATCACTGATTTTACCCTTTGTTTGAATCAAATAACCTTATAAAGGTTTTATGACAGAAATTATAGTAAATCAAATTATTAAATTTCTCAAATGCAATTAAAAAAATTTCTCCATTTAATTCATTGAATTATCTTGTTTTAATGCTTATGAATAATATCCTATTTAAAATGTATGTTAAAGAAAATTATTTAATATGTTTAAAAATATTTATTTTATATTTAGGGCACCTACTTCATTTTTGTCGATGAAATTTTATTTTTTAAAATACAATTTTTTGCTGTTTTTTTAGATTGATGATAAATTAAAGCAAATAAAAGAATTCAAAAAAGAATTAAAGGAAGTTAAGCAAGCAGCTAAGAATGGCAGTTCTAAGGACAAAGTGTAAGCATAGTTTTTTTATACATTTCCATTAAAGGAATGTGTTTTATTTATTTAGAAGAAGATAGCTGAAGGATTTGCCTTTATAAATTTGGAAGTGTTTTATAATAAAAGCATGCATAGTTGTTAAATTTAAATAGGGAAAAGTACATTTTAAAATTTTATAAATTAGAAACTTAATACTTATCATTATTTTCAGGCTGTATGATAAAAAGAAGAAAAGACTTGCACAACTGGAAGAACAGTTGAAAAAATTAGAAGTTCAAGTGACTGATAAAGAAGAAAACAAGCAGATAGCATTAGGAACATCCAAATTAAATTATTTGGACCCCAGAATTAGTGTTGCTTGGTGTGTGTGTGATTAATATTAGTGAAATATTCTAGGTTTTTCAAAGCCATGGGAATATACTTTTTTCTTCTCTAAGATTTTTTTAGTTACCTGTTCTTTTTTGATGATATAACTCTGCTAGGTTAAAATAAAGACTCAAAAGTTTTTTAAAAGCATAAAATTAATGCTAAATTAGATATAAATAAAGTATAAAATATAAATAGAGGGCACCCTGTACTTTTGGGATTCTATCAATGTTTTATTAAAATCTTATAAATACTGTAATTATTCTGATGAAATGTAAGCATTCTTCTGGAAAATAATAATAATAATAATAAAAAGTATACTTCTATGTTGACTTGCACTTCAGTCAGATCTGGATGGTAATTTTCTTCAGATATTAAAGGATTTATCTGATGAGGAAATATTTTAAATAATTTCTTGAAAGTATGTATAATACAGTCAAAAGTCGTTAATCCGGACTCGTCGGGACTTCGGCGATTCCGGATTATAGATCATCAGTTTAAATCTCGTAAGATGGCATACAGAAATTCTAAAATTAAAAATATGAAACCGTAATTTATGAAATAAAGAACAGTTATGATCTAAAGGGTATCAAAATTTACAAAAAAAAAAGCTTAATATTTATTTGTTTACTTTATTAAACATTTCTTTCAATGTAAGTTGCTTCGATTTATGTGATAATACTTTCTCTTTAATTCTACAGACATAATTTCTTGTTCAGTTACAAAGTTCCGCTGTTCAAGTCCCGTTAATTGCTGTGCCGAGAATACCGATTAACTTGTCAATCAAAATTTTTTCGTTTTCACTAACCTCTCTATCACATTCTTCATGTCTTCATCCATTTTTTGCAGCAATTCCACTTTTTGTTTGATGAACATTGAAACATACTTTCGTTTTGTACGATCCTTTGGGAGCTCCAGAATCGGAAATTCTATTTGACATAATCGAAAGTTCAAGTTTACTTTTATGGTATTGCTCTTACAGTCTGCAAAAAAAATAAGCCGGATCCAATTCGAAAATTAAGGAACAGCACAATCATCAACATTAACTGAAATCGATAATTAGATAATTTTAGCTTATGCCGTCCGTTATACATAAAACGCGCACGCGAAAACTTATTCTTCGCTTGCGCACACTCGTAAAAGGTCTTACACGCACGCGTAAACGCCTATGCGCATGTGTCAACGCAACGCATGCGCAGAAAGTTTTTAGCTTTGAGGTCCGGATTATAGATCATTCCGAATTATGGGTGTCCGAATTAACGACTTTTGACTGTAGTAATAATATATTATTATAATATAAAAACACTTCATCTATTATGCATATTAAGTAACCTTGTGGAGAAAGATTTTAAGGAAATGATTGAACATAAGGTATATCCTTCTTAGAATTAAGTCTAAAATCTTTAAATTGTGGATTGCCATGGTCTGGAATAGATCTAATTTTAGGTAACTAGGAACAATGTCCATAAAATAATTTTCTCTTTGTGATATTTAAAACAGTTAATTATCTTTCTTTTACTTTCAGCATAGGGACAATATGCTATGTATGTATGTATTCTTTCTTTCTAAGATGTGAAATCATCTTGCCCCCAACTATCATAAACCATATTCCTTGCAGCTCCTCTATAGGTTGAGCAGTCGGAATAAAAATTGGATATAATTTTTTTGATTTTATGTAGATTACAAAGCTGCAGTATAAAATAATTAAAGTTTTTTTATTTCTGTTACTGAAAGATATGAAGTGGTCTGCTTTCCTGGGTAAAGTTACATTGAAGTACAAATCTATTTTCATTTTCCATATAAAGTGTAACAACATTTATGTTTTTATTGTGTTTCCTTTTTTAATGATTGTAGAATTGCTGCAAAATAAGTATTTGTTGTGGTTTTTGTGAAGTGACAAATTTTGTAAAATACTATATATATATAACACATCGTTCAATAAGTCCAGGACTAACTAAGAAAATATCCATTTCACAAAATTCACGTTTATTCATCAACATAATCACTACCAAAAATGAGCTATGCAAACATTCCAATGCTGTTCTAACTTTTCAATACCATGCTTGCAAAGCAATTTGTCCTTGTCCGCAAAATAACCTTCAGTAGCAGTGATGACTTCTTCATTCGAGCCAAAGTCCACCCCCGGGCATCTTTTTCAGATCAGCTAACAGCCAGTAGTCGCTGGAGAGTATGATGTGTGGGGAAGCAAAGTGAAGCCCAACTTGTTCAGTGTAACCAGTGTTTGCATTGACTTGTAGCACAGGTCATTGTCTTGAAGGAAGATGAATTTTTTTCCCCTCAATTTCGTCCTTCAGACACACTGTAATAGGCACTGTTGATAGATTTTCCTTATTCAAAGTAGTCCATGTAAATTATACCTCACGCATCCGAAAATGCTGATACTATAATTTTACCAGCTGACTGTTGTGTTTTTGGACGCTTCGGACGGCTTTCACCTGCTGAATGCCGTTTCGACTCCGGGTGAAATAATGGATCCATGTTTTGTCCATTATCGCTTACTGACACAAGAAATCCTGTTTATTGCAAGTAAACAGTGACAAACAGCTCTGTGAATCATCGACTCATTGTTGCTTTTGTTCCATTGTGAGCACACACAGCACCCATTTGGGAAACACTTTTTTCATGCCCAACTTTTCATGTAAAATTGAACATGCTCGTCCAGTTGATATGTTTACCATCTCAGTAAGCTCACGAACTTTCATTTTGTGGCCATTGATCACGATTTTCAACACTTATTTCACATTTTCCGGAGTGACTGTTTTATTTGGCCTATCCGAGCGTGCCGCATCATTTGTATCTGTGCAACTGTGCTTGGAATCAGCATATCAACAGCAAATGGTTGTTTTCGATGGAGCAGAGTCTGGATAACAATTTTCAAGCTATTGCTGAGCTTGGACGGTATTTTTGCCCATTAAATAGCAATGTTCGATCAACACTTGAAATTCGTATTTCTCCATTTTGTCCACAAATGCACAGGTCCGAATGCCATGAAGATCAGACCCATGACATTTGAAGGTTAGTTCTTTCAAACAACGAAGTTAACTTCACAATACTACGCCATCTGTCGGTTAGCCTGGGACTTATTGAATGATGTGTTACATTTGGGTATCATCCATACTTGCAAGATATTTCTCTAAATCTTTGTTTTTTCACATGTTCTCAGATTGGTTTTTATTTATATAGTATGGTCATATATTATGTATGCAAATAAAATGAATTCATAATTGTGTTAATGTTTTTTTTTTTTTTTTTTTTTTTTTTTTTTTTCCAATTTTATACAGGTGCAAGAAATGGGGTGTTCCTATCGAAAAAATATATAACCGCACACAAAGAGATAAATTCAGGTGGGCAATTGAAATGGCCGGACCCGATTATAAGTTTTGATGTCGACTGGTCAGCCTCATGCATTACCGTAACAGGGGCTGACATCATGTTAGCTGAATATGAAGAAAAAGTGTCTTGCCTTCATCTCTATGTACAATTAAATCATGTGTGTAGCCATCTAGAAACTTTAGAAAAGGGACACTTGACGGGCATCATTCCACGTCTGCAGCCTAGCTGCCAGTGTATAATATCAGCCATCTTTTTTGTGTAATCCAAAGGAGGATTGGGCCCTTAGTGGTCTTTGTGTAACTTTCTCTTTTGTACTGAGGAATCTTGGACGTAGCTGATTGTACCAAATGCATCCCTATGCTGCTTATGTTTAATGGGAATATTTATTTATTATGTGGAATTATTCCAAATTTGTGTTTTGTTGGCTTAGGTTTGTCTGTGCATTATATATATATATATATAGTATATGTATTTATTTAGTCAAATCGTAGTGACATGAACTGTAGGCATACAGTCAATGATCGAAAGTCATTTTTACATTCAGATCCATAAATTGGACTTAGCTTGGCTAATGATTCATAAGCAACTTGATGTATTTCAGACTTGGAGATTAACACCATGACTAATTGCTTGTGAAGCACAGGCCCTTGGTAGACTGGCATAAATTTTGTGACTTTTTCCAATATGTATCAATATAACATTTTTGTTAGCACCTAAATTGCATCCTCTTTTTTAATGCATTTTAGCCATATTAATGGGATAAATGTTAGTATCACATCATTTGGGAATCATGAAAAAATCATTTTTGTCATTCTTTATTTTACTTTCATGGATTGTTAAAATTTTATTGCATATTACGACCTTATCACTTTGCAATGAAGTTGAATCTGATGTTTGCTTGTGGAGTGTGTAAATTGCCTTATATTTATTACTCTTTTTACCAAGAGAATATCTGTATGTGAATTTTGTTTATATATATTACATATTTAAACCGTTGTGATGTTTTATACCATTTTAGTTTTTCTCATGAAATTCAGATCTTTATGACAATGAAGAATAATTTATTTAAGTAATGAGTTAAAAGGAATATTTACTTGCATAGTAATCTCCATTCCATATAAGACTATTAAATTTATTTGTGTGAATCTAAGTACATGTATTACAGATGATATTAATCAAGCATTAAAAGTACTTAATTTTAGATGTCAAGGAGTCATAAATCTAAATTCTACATACTAAAATCTAAAACTTTTACCATCAGTTTAACCTTTTCTTAGGAGCTGGGACATATGTCCCATGTGTTTACTATATTAAATTGATTATTATTGGTTTTTTTTTTTTTTTTTTTTTTTTTTGTTGTTGATTGAATAGTAGACTGAATGGCTTTAGAACATAAAAAAATTAGTCTCTATAGCCAATGTGAAAACAACAGTGATAGTTTTGAAAAGAGGCATTATTGAAGACTGTATCATTTAGTGTTAAGAGGAAAATTTTTAAACTAGAAAAAAAGCATTAAAAATCATAAATACTTCCTGAAAATGCTAGGTAATTTGTTGTTTGCCTTAAGGTTTACAAATTTAGTGGACAGTCATTAAAACCAAAATTAATTATGTATAATTTTAAAATTAAGAATCTTGAATGTTATTTTTATTAACCCAGTGCATGTTTCTGTTATTTTTTAATTAATTTTAAAAACAAAAATATTATCCCCCTCATAGCATTTCCTTTTTTATATTATTTATTTAATAAGTAGGTTTTGTATTCTCGATTAGAAATGATTGTACATACCATGTGTGTATTAGATATATGAATATTTTATAGCATTTTTACATTTTTGTAAAATTGGAAATTGCAGTTAAAATATTGATTACTATGTAAGTAAATATGCTTAAGTTATTCAAGCATATTAAATCCATTAACTATGCACATTAATTTTATCTCGATTGTCTTGTGCATTTTAATACTAGTTATAAAACTGCTTGTGCATTTTAATACTAGTTAGGTGATTTTAAATATAACAGCTGTTTTGAGGTTACGAAAATTTGAAACTATCATTAGTGATGTGTTGCATAATTGGTAAAAGGGGTCCAGGACTCTTGCATTTATATGAATTTTGAAATAAATTCTGATTTTTTGCTATCTAAGTAATAGAAAATAAGAGTATATATATTATTATAGTCTTTGTTTAAAGAATGTTCATTAAATTGCAATGAAGTAGAATTTTTATAAGTTTTTACCTTTTCTCTTGTGATTAGCGGCATTACTAATGATTCATAAATTAACAATAATTTGAAAAGCAAGCTATTTTCAGTATTATTTTTAAATTTATAGCTACTTTACTGATGACATCCTTTTGGCATTTTCACTTACTGTGAAAAAATTTTAAAAAACCACGGTTCTGTTATGTATATTTCTGTGCAAAATGAAACAATATGAATTATGTAAGCTGTTACTTTATTACACAAACTGATATATTATAAAAAAATATTTGCTTTATGAGGATAAACTTTTCAATATCAAATCATGTGCAAAATTTTAAATTGAATATCTGGTTAAAAATTTGTCCTCAAAAGAAATCTGTATATTGCAACAAATCAGTCAAGAGCAAGATGTTCTGCACCAATCTGTAGGTATTATTTCGATCGGTTTTTATTTATTTATTTTTTTTTAAAGGAATATGAATGTGGTAGCTGACTGCTGTAATGAAATTGTACAATAAAAATATCAACACTTTTAACCATTTTTTATTTCTATGAATTTTTTCACCATAATCATATATATCATGTATGTAATCTTTCCACCATGACTTGGCGCATGCATACATCACATCTGACAATTCCAGTTACTTTAGGTAAACCAGAACTAACAGTGTAAGCTCTTCTATAATGGAATTTGGGTTTGCATATTTGCAACCTTGTATGAACTCTCTGCATCTCTCTGACTGTATTCAAAATAACATATCTGTTCTACAAGGGGTAGGGTCCTTGACCCAGGCACCCTTGTGCTACACAGTTTCCCCAATGCGTCTATAGTGAAGTGAACTCCCCTTTTTAACTGGTGTGGTGAAGTTCTTTTTCATGGTGGACAAACAACAAATTTATAACAATTAGAAAATGCAGCCTTGTTTGCCGACTTCACTATTTCTTCAAAATTTCAGTTGCATTGAAATGCATCATAATTTATACTGGTTTGATTGTAATTTAGTCACTCATAGACAAATTTTCAACCCAATCCCCCCCCCAAATAAACTCCAATTTTCAATGATCAAACAGTACTTTTACATCTTTAAAAACATGCATGTAAGATATATTGCTTTTTAACAAACCACTCTACATTTATTTAAAACCCATACTTTAAAAATACTTTTGTAAATTATATAGATATTAGAAATTTTCATTCTGTTACTCAAGCAGAAATATTACTAAATTAAATATTATAAAATTACTAATATATTTCTGAAATGAATATTTTAACCCCTTTGCGGCGCACTATACATTAACGTTGGAATTTCAACAAAAAAAGTTGTATGCAGTCTATTTAGTCCTAAAGGAGTATAAGGTAGAATTTTCTAAAAATTGCACTTACTGTTTTAATTCTGTGGGTGATCTATGAGGTGGAACACTGTGCCGCCAGAGCTTTTAAAAGTGTGACTAAGCGAGCATTGCAGTGAAGCACGAAAATGAGTAGAAGCGTTTGTATAAGAATGAAAAAACTCTGTATTAAGGCTGTATACATGATTTCTAGGATATACACAATATTCTTGAATATATACAGATAAATGAAATAAATATCTATATACACAAGTCCTATATACAAAAATATTTACAAATTTTCCTATTTCTTACTTCGTGAAATTGTTCAAAGCAAGTCACACTTTTTTGATGGAAGCACAAACCAACTACGATTAATATTAACAATGAAGAAAAATAAGCTTATAATATATACATACACAAAGAATATCTACACAATTATTGAAAATAAACGGGAATGCGACTAAAAAGCGACAAAAAATTCGTGCAGGTCTAAGAAAATATGAGTCGAGCTACTAATAAAATTCCCGCCTAAAAACTACAACGAAAAAATTCGAGATGCCAACATTAGGGCTTTCATAACACAAAACACACCTCACCCCTCAATACTGCTTTGTTTGAATTCATTCCCCCCCCCAAAAAAAACAGAAAACGTAAATAACGGGTGTTTTCTCCTAAAGACAGATATTCTGATTCGTAACAGCATGAGATTGCTAAAGGCATAGTGTTCCCGCTAATGGAACACCCGGGTTTATTCAATGATTCTGCGTATGGTTTTTGTATGAAAGATTAAAAAAAATATAGAACAAATAATTTGGAGTACAGCCAGCAAAATTATGTCTAATTAATTTTTCCAAATAAAATTTTTATACCATTAAAAAAATAGAGAAAATTACTTGAAAAAAGTGGATTTTAATAACACATAATAAATGAAAATTCTGTGTTTCCTTGTGATATGTTGCTATCTACTGTTTAAAAAGAAAAGTTCAAAGTATATTATAAGGGCATTTTTATCTATTTACGGTTGAATTTAAAGGTTTCAGAAGCAATTCAATTTGGGTGTTCCATGCAGTGGAACACTGAGCCACAAAGGGTTAAATTACAAATAATCATACGAAGATAAATCAGAATTCCATAAACCATATATGTTTGAGGTTTTTGTATTGTGATTTATGTAGGAGGAAAAAATTTAGATAAGAACAAGAAATATACAACTGCCCATCATCATCAAAAGTATTTATATTTATAAATTATGAATGCAAATGTTTGTAATTTATAAATAAACTTTATTTTTAAATGTTTGATGTGATTTTGTTTCTACAGCTAAATTTTTTATGGTATAGAAATTTGTGTTCAATTAAAGTTTGAAAAAATAGCTTTCGGCTTTTCTTCGATTTCATAGTCCGTCATGAAGAAAATTGATTATCTTGCTTTTATTGCACTAATTTCTTTATACCTTTAAGAAAATACATGACGCTTACAATCATCTGTGCTGTGTGCAGCTGAAAAGTCTATTACATACGTTGCAATATGCTTGATTTACAGAAATTTCAGATTTTTTAATGTATGGAAATCCTCAAGAATGAGTCTTGCCAGCAAAGTAAACAAGCCCTTCACTATAGCATACTCATGGAGAAAATTGCAAGAATGCCCATGTGTGTTTACATGGAATCGAACTGCTAGTGTATAGCGACTTTACAGCTTATGGTAAAAGCTGAAGCTCATCTTGCTCACAGCTAATCATAGGTTAATTGAACAATCACATTATGGATAGAAACAAAAGGAAATAAAAATTTATTTTAAAAGCTGTCATTGAATGTTTTTACTATTATACATAGTCATGTAGGTATCCGTATATATTTGTATTCAAACGCATATATTAATAAGAACATAAAACATGCTTATTCCGAATGATTATTTGTTAATGAAAGAGTTCTTCCTTGATTATGATGTCTTTAATAAGCTAGCACAAACGATAAGGAAAAGCAACAGGGCTGATGGAGTATTTGTTTCGCAAGTAATTTTCTGAAGGTCGTTCTAAATAGCATTCTACATCTGTATTTTAACTATCTCAATACTGAAAAAAATCCATTTAATAGTATAAAGTTACTGTACTGTCAGTTATAAGTCTGTAAGAGTTCAACAAAACAGGACCTTAGGGGTTTGCACTTCGCTGCAATTTAATATTGAAAAATCAGCAAAACTCTCAACCACATGAATTCTTTATTATTTTGCTAAACATCAAATGAATATGTTTCATTTGCCCTCCTTTTTTGTGTGTGTACGTATAAAATCTCTAGTTTTTAAGAAATTTCCATAGAAACTATGAAGAATCCACAGTAGTTTGGAGTTTTTTCAATAATTACAGTGACTTAGCATAGTAATCTTTTAGTGTATGTTATAAATTTCATCAGAAATATTAATGATTTTAATTTTTTGTTTGTTACATTATTAAGTTACATAAAGCAAACTATCTTCATATCAATTGGAAATTTATATTTTTATATTCTAATCAGAAAGGTTGCAAAGGACTTATTCCAAAATGGAATTTCTGATTAGGATATGAAACTCGTCGCATTTTGGCTTTAAATTCATATGCAATATACAGACAAGTAAAAACTCGTTTTTTTTAAGTTAACATTCAAATTTCATGATAATTCTTTCCAGCTGGTAATATTAAAATGCTACTATGTCGCTTCCAGTTCATATTGTTCTATTTTCAATAAGAACTTTTTTTTACATTGATTTTCTGTCTCTAAACAGCAGGTATTTAGTCTTCCTTACTTTTCTATGTGATTTAAGAGTATTGCTGTTTGTTTTTAAAGAACTTCTAATATATTTTGCATTAAAATATTTGTGAGAAAATAATAAACATAGATTTTTAAAAATAAAAAAAAAAAAAAAAATGGCTAGGATTGACTAAGCGGGAAAATGATGATTCACAGGTAATGGATACAGGACAATCTACTAGCACTAAGAATATAGAAAATATAATGAAAGTTATTAATTATTTAGGTTTACATGGAATATGGATGAAATGAACCCTCAATGTGTTAATCAAAGTATCAAACCATTGTTTCTTAAAAAGACATCTTGAATCTAAGCATGCCAATTTAAAGGATAAATCTGAAGAATATTTCAAGAGGAAATTATCAGAGTTGAAAAATAGTAAATAATTAATGAAAGGTTTTTGTTACTTCAAGTGAAAAAGCTTTGGAAGCTAGTTACATAGTAAGCCTAAGCATTGCAAAACTGGACAGGCTCATACAATTAGAGAAATCATCATATTACCAGGAGCTAAAGATACCATTTTAACATTATTTAACGAAAAAGCGTCCAATGAATCTAATAATATTCCGTTATCAAATGATACAGTTAAGTCAAGGAATTCATGAAACTGCAAATTCCATAAAAGTGATACTTATTCAAAAAATGAGACACAATAAGAATTTTGCATTGCAGTTGGATGAAAGTACTGATATAATGAACTTTGTTCAATTACTAGTTTACATACATTTTGAAGAAGATAAACAAACTACTGAAGAGTATTTATTTTCTGAATCCCTTCATGATAAAGCAACTACAAATGAAATTTTCAAAGTAATTGATAATTTTATCTCTGAGAATGATGTTCTTTGTGCATTGGCGCATGCGGTGATGGAGCTTAGGCTTTAACAGGAAAACATTCTAGTGTTACTTCTCAATTAAAGGAAGTCGCAGCTGAAACTAAATTTACTCACTGCTCCATTCATCATGAAGCTTTAGTAGGCAAAACAATGTCTGAAAACCTGAAAATCATTTTGAATCAAATTGAATACTCTGAAAACTGTTAATTTTATTAAAAGCCAAGTTTTAGTTTCAAAAATATTTACGATTTTAATGCTAAGAGATGGGGATATTTTTTATGATTTAAAAAACTTTCATGTACACATTGAGTTTTACATTAGGCACACTACCTTAGAATTTCAGAGTAATAAAGTACAGTGTGCAGCTAGTCTGTATGTATATAATGTTTCCACAAAAAAATTATCCACTTAAGCTGTTTTGATCATGGATAGAAAGTACTAGCACAAAAGGCAGATGCTATTTAGGATATATTTGTTAGCTGTTTTCCCTGCACTGCTTTACCAATGATATATCCAAAAGTAAGTGATGCACAGTGACTAGTCACTCACTATGTATTTCGTGATACATAGCGACTAAGTTGTACAA